GGGCACAAGCCTTTTATTACTATTATGACATAAAAAAAAAAAAAAAAAAAAAAAAAGGAAGAATTGGTTTAAGCTCAAATACACTAGCCAAGAAATGTCTCGCCAGGAAACCACCAAGGCATTTAGCCTGTTGCTGACAGCTCATCCAAAGCAGGGCAATGTCCCAAGACAACACACCCTGCTTTGCTTAAATAAGAAAAAAAAGTTTTGGACAAACTAGGGGTTTGTTTTTTTGTTTTCTTTTTTTTCTTCTTTGTGTAACTATACTTATGGACTTTTAAATATTTTTCTATAACATTCATCATTTTGTGCAGCAACAGATGCACAAAACATCTTTTGGTGGTTCTTGTTCTTGTAATTTCTGCACCCCGCAGACTCTGCAAACCCGCAGGCGGGGCCGGGGCGGTGTTTGCCCACGAGAACGCGTTCGCTCGGCCCCCCTGTGTGTGTGGGGGGCTTTTAAAGGTCACCCCGCTATAAAGCACAGCGCTGCAGAGGATGGAGAGCCCAGTGAGAGCCCTGGCACGGTGTCCGGCCCCGCTGTCCCGGACGGGACGAGGGTGCGGGGCGATTCCCACGCGTGGCTCAAACGCTGGCACGGGCACCGACACGCTCCTGCCTGGACACCGACACGCTCCTGCCGGGCGAGGCGGCTCCCGGCCCGCCTGGGAGCCAGCAAATGCTGCGCCAGCCAAACCCTCTCCCGCACGCCGCTCCCCCAGCGCCGCGGTGCCGCCCCGTTGCGAAGGAAGCGGCGTCGCCGGTTGCTACGAGGCCGGGGGGACGCGCAGAGCGGCGCGGCGGGGCCCGGCGCTGTTGGCGGTGCGGGCCCGGCGCTGACCCGGGCGCTGGATGGAGCTCGGCGGGAAGGCCGGCGGGGCGGCGCGGGGGCAGCTCCTGGCCGGGGCCCCGCAGGAGCGTGCGGGAGGGCAGCGGAGCGTCCCTGTGTATCCTTGCTGGGCCGGGCGTCTCTCGGGGCCGGCCGAGCCCTGCTGCGAAGGAGGGCCGGGGCTGCGTGGGGCCCGTGTGGGGCGGCGGCGGGGCCGGGCGGCGATGGCCCGGCCTCCACCCTGCCCCGCGGTCAGGGACCGCCTCAGGGGTGTCTTCAAATTGAAACTTGTGCGCTGAGCGGTTTTATCTGCTCTGGGAAAAACTTCTCTAGCAAGTTCGGAGTTTTCTTCTTTCCCCTCTTCTAGGAGACTATGCCAGTAGGAATCGTGTTTTCCATCCTAACTTGTGGGTTCTTGTTTTTTGAGTTTTAGTGGTAAGAACTACTGACACAAACTCTTAAGATCGGCCTGCAGAGTACTATTAAATAACTACTGGCGTGATGCAGGACTGATCTGGCTCTGTGGAGAACTTTCATTTAATTACGTTAATCAATTTCACTGTAAACAACTAGTCCTTTAGGATGTGGGGAAGTGTTTACTATTTAACATTTTCCCTGTCATACCTACATCGTTATGTTACAGGTTTGTGTAACTACACAAAATGTCCCTTCCAATGAACATAATAAAGGCGGGATTTTTCAGCTGGTAGTGTGACAGATGAGTGCAAAGCGTCTCCTCAAATCCCTTTAAAAAGCAAAATGCAAATTACATTTTTGCTGGATGAGCGTAAAGTTAGTTATGATTGTAATATACAATTTTAGGACCTCCTCTGTATAAGGTAAATCACACAGGCTATTCTGTTTTTAATGAGCTGTTCCATCGAGTTTCTATTGTCCTTAACACGGTCTTAGGGATAGAGATTTAATATTTCATTTTGAACAAGATTTACAAGAGGAACGTAGAGCATTGAAAGAGGATCAAAAAATGCATCGGAGCAAGGCAATGAAATATTTGATGGAGACAAACAGAAGAAGGAGGCAAGTAACTGGGGTTCTTTTAACAGAGGATTGTAAAAAAAAAAAAAAAAAAAAGAGAAAACAAAAGCAAAAAGAGTCAAAACCTTGAGACAGATCTATATATCTCTACTATTTTCATGTTCACTTTGATAAATAGCTCACTGCTTTGACCTAGATGAATCTACGCTGAAAAGTTTCACAAATCAAGTTTCTTGCTGTAGGACAAATAAAATATAAAAAGAGCAATATTCTGTTTAATTGCTAATTTTTGGAAACGCACTGTAGTCACATCTCATATAAACTAAAGGTAAGTAGCACTCTCATCCTGTGGCTCTGATCTGCGTTTCTAGTGTTTTTTTAGCTTCGATGGATGTATGGAAAATGCACTCAGCTGTACAGTGTGGGCCAGCAGAAGGCAGTTGTTGCCTGCTGAAGTGTGTGCTTTTGTGTCTGCGTGGCGAAACAGCTGCACAGCCTCCCCTTTGTGGAGAGGCTTTGTGCTTCCACTTCCCAAAAAACACAAAGCAACATTTTTCTTGTACAGGATTATACTTATAATAAAGTTATTTTGTACTGACATTTTAAACAGAGCTTTGCATAGTTTGTCTTCTGCATAAATGAGAATGCAAAGCCATGAAATATTCTGTGACAAATGGATTAAGTAAATTATGCACTGAAATGTCTCAGTCGAGTGCTGTAAGTAGTTTAATGGGCACAGAGAAAGGTCTTTTCCCTCACACTGAGGTGGTGCTCACACATAAAGGGGGCTGAGCTGTGTGTACTGGAGCAGCAGATGGGTTCCTCCTTGCAAGCCCCCAGCCTCAGACCAGCTTCCTGTGCCTCTTGTTAACTTGTTAATGCTCGTGCCCCACAGCTCCCCTGTCAGATGACTTCTGTTGTACAATGTTTACTTATGGCTTATGCTCATAACTCATAAGAGAGGTGGTATATATTGTTTATATTGCCATTTTAGCCTAACAGCATGTGCTATCAACTTACCTTTTGAAATATAAAGAAAAATGGAAGAGATATAATCGCCTGCGGGTAATTAAAGACAGAGTACAATCCACAACCTTTGCAGATAATAAACTGAGTCTCAGTTGAAAAATTAAATACCTAACTTCATTTTCTGGAACAGAACCACTGCAATGCTACACATCTCAGATGAACACTGTTTATTGTATTACTGGTCTTGAAATATTATACTCTAATGTAAAAGCAAATACCAGACAGCCTACATATTTTTGACAGACTGGTGTAGTTAAAGTAATACTCATGGATACATGAATACATTTCCATATGTATTTCATTGCAGCCTTAAGAAACACAGTATAAATCCAAGTTGCTCAGGTGAGCCACTTAAAAATTTAGATACGGTATTCATAAAATGAGGCCTTTCAATTTGTGATAATTGAGAATGGCATAATTATTAGTAAAATAAGCAGTTCAAACGGAAGTCTGTGGTAACAAGTTTTCTCCTAATAACTGAAAAGGAGTGAGTTGTTTAATTTTTGAAAGATAGCAAGTGCATACAATGTTATAAGCTGTGACATGTATAATTAAAAATTAAAGGTCACTGCATATGTGCAAGAGAGTAATTTGAAAATAAAGTTCCTTGAATCTAAATATTTTTTCCTGGCAATTATGCAGGTAGGAATTGATTGATCAACCCTCAGGTCATGTGTCAAGTCTGTATGAGCCAAATTCCGTTAGCTTTCTTACACATGTAAAGGTGTTAGATATGATGATGGTTCTCAAGGGTAGCATGACGTTCTTAAGCTCCACATTCTCACCTGGCAGCACCCAAAATTCTCCCTGCCAGGGCTTACAGGCATATGTTAGGAGTTATTCTTGGCACTACTATTACATTATTTCAAAAGAGAATTTCTATCTTTTGTATTTTTTAAATGGAGAGTGTGAAGTGTGACAGTCCATTTTCTACCTCTAACCTTCGCATAGAATAGTTGAGGTTGAAAGGGACCTCTTGAAGTCATTTGGTTGAACACCTTCACTTAGAAAGGGCCACCTAGAGCTGGTTGCACAGGAACAGTTTTTGAGCTTCTCCACGAATGGAGACTCCACAGCCTCTCAGGGCAATCCGTGTCAGTGCTGTCATCCTTACAAAAAAAAAAAAAAAATGTTTCCTGATATTCCAAAGGAAACTTCTGTGGCTCAGTTTGGTCCTGTCAGCAGGCATCACTGAAGATATCCGGCTCTCTCCTCTTTGCACCTTCCTTCCAGGTATTTAAAGGCATTAATAAGATTCCTTTGAGCCTTCTCCAGGCTGTACAGTCCCAGATCTTTCAGCCTTTCTTCCTAGACAGATCCTTCAGCATCTCTGTGGCCCTTCATTGGACTGTCTCCAGTGTGTCCATGTCTCTTGTACTGAGGAGCCCAGAGCTGGACACAGTCCTTCAGCTGTGGCCTGCCTAGTGCTCAGCAGAGGAGAAGGATCACTTCCCTCTACATGCTGACTGAGCTTTGCCTGGTGAAGTTCCACTGACCTTCTTTGCAGCAAGGCTGGTCCCTTCTCTCAAGTAACCAGTGCTGCAGCATGAGAGGAAATGGCCTCAGATTGCACCAGGAGAGGTTTAGATTAGATACTAGGAAAATTTTCTTCATGAAAAGGGTTGACAAGCATTGGAAAAGGCTGCCCATTGGAGTGGTTGCATGTGGTATACTTCAAGATGTAGTTTAGTCATGGACTTGGCTGTGCTGGGCTTGTTGTTGGAGTTGATGATCCTAGAGGTCTTTTCTAACCCAAATGATTCTATGTTTCTATATTTAATGAAGATATTAAAGAGGAGTTGGTCCATTATTGACTCAGGGTTTACCACTGGCCTCTATTAGGACTTTGTGTCACTAATCACATTCAGACTGTTCATATTCCGCCTCACTCTCTGCTAATTCAGCCTGTAAAGCACCGTCTCGTTTTTGAGGGTCATAGGGGAGATAGCAACCTTAGTAAAGTCCAAATAGACAATACCTACTACTCTCCTCTCATCTACAGGACTGTAATTTCTTTGTAGAATTTTATGAAGTTGATCAAGCTTAACCAAATTTAGTGTCAATCTTAAGTTTCTAAATTTTCTAGTAAGAAAATAAAAGCAGTGAATTCCCTTTAGGAAGAAGCACTAGAGAAAATACAGGAGAGTTTCTCCTCTTTCCTTAATCCTGTGTCATTTAAGTTAATTTCTTTCATATTACTTTGTGGAGGAAAACTTTTCTGGGGGTTTTTCTTTGTGGGTTTTTTTTTCAGGAACCACCAGCAGACCTCCTTTAAACAAGGTTGTACCAAAGCACTTTTAAATCTAATGAGTCCTGCACATGCATATGCAAGATTCTAGCAGATTGAGGTCTTCTGTTTTCAACCTTTTCTATATGTACTTGTAATGAAATTTTCCCTGACAGTCTACTGTTGATTTGTTGTAAATACTTCTAAAACGCAGCACCTTCATCATTAAAAATACTCATCTTCTACAAGCTTTTAATTGGTTTAGTAGTAAAAGACAAAACCATTACTTGCTCAGAAAGAGCAAGGATAGCTTTGGAAATAAAAATCTCAGTAACTTAAATCACAGATCCTTTTCAACCCCCCTGATGTCATCTGGGTTTTTCTGCATCTCTTGTACTGAATAAGCTCCTTAGTTTTGTGTTAATAGCAATAATTCAACACAGCAAAAAAACCCTAGCCTACAGTTTATACAAATTGGCTGAGTATCAAGAGTAATTTATTGTCTCACTGATACATGAAGTTGCAATTTCAAGATCAGATTAAGAATCAAATATTCTCTGGGGCAGTAGCTGGCAGATACTTTGTTTAAATAACAGTATTCTGGAAATAAGAGCTACTGACTAAGTACATACTTGATGCAAATGAACAGGATATCATATTTTATGTTTCTGTAACACACTGCTTTCTAAATACCAGCTGTCAGTTTTGTTGGGGACTATAGACTTCATGCTGTTACTGCTCAGTGCAAAATGTGCATCCCATTTTACTGTGATGTTACTGTCTGCAGGTAGCTGGTTCATTCTGGAAATGCAATTGTCTATGTGCATTTTAAAATAAACCTTACAGTCAGTTATCTTGGCTCAGCATTTTGAATTATCTTGAAATAGCTAATCCATCTGTTGAAACTGGGGAAGGAAATCTATATCGGTTTCCAATCTATTCCCAATCTATTGTTCTTTCGTATGCACAAGCTTTGTGCTCCACCTACTGGCTGATTAACTTTGATTATTTAATAAAAGCGCTTTAAATCATTCATCAGTTTTGTCGATAGAGAATGAAAAGCAGTCTACAGCCAGAAATACAAGAACAATGTCAGCACTTGGTAAACAGAGAGGGCAGAGTGTTAAGAATTTTGTATTACTTTTTACATCAGAATGGAACTGTGAAAAGTAGGTGATCACTGTAACCATGTGGACTTGAAATGCAGTATTGCTATTTCTGATAATGGGCCACAGGATTGTGCTGAATTTGCAAGGCCTTGGAAAAGATGCTTGCCAAGCTTGCTCTCTGAACTTTTCTTGACCTGACAGCAGTTTGTTTTTCTTGGTTTAGCTGCAACAGCAATTTCTCTAAAATACCAGGTGTCTGTGGCTAATTTATTTTGCTTTTGTTTATCTTTTTATTGTATGACCATAGTTTAATATAGGTAGCAGTAAGAAGCAGTTATTCTATGCAGAGAATGAGATATTTATGACTAAAATAATGAAGCAATATAGAGAAATGCAGGCCTGGTACAGTAGCAGAGGCTTTGCAAGCTGGAGGTGCAGGATGTGGCATGGAGGAGTACAGGCCAGGGATGGTAAGAGATGGCACACGGGCTTGGCACTGGATACCCCTTGGCTATACTCATCAATAGTCAGCTAAAGAAATGCAGAACTAGATCTGACAAACCTGGCTTTAGTGGTAACGAAGAGAAGAAAATAGTATGTAACATACATAGAAGCACCATGTATGGAATATATGGAGGTACTGTGGAGCTACAGATTGACAATGATAGAGCAGAGGTGTAAAAGTGTATTAGCAAATATAAAAATGACTCCAAGTGGATCCTAAGATGAGGGAGAAGAAAGTATTTACACGAAGATCCTGTTGGTCCTGCTGAAGGGACTGGAGCTGCTGCCGGTTCACCCTAACACTCCAGCACAACCAGAATGAAACTACAAGCCTTGGCATGCCAAAGAGCAATGCAAGAATGAGCATCGGGAAAAGGGATAGAAACTCAATGTGTGAATAACAGTTCAAACTGGTTTATCACTATTATTGAGCCCTTTTCTGTATAGATATGTTCTAACAGTATTATTATTTTTCAGTAACAATCCTGGATTGATAATACTTGGACTCCTAAGATTTGAATTATGCTAACAAAAAAAAAATGCTTGACTATATGAAGTTCTTAGGTTTTGCCTATGAACAAGACTTGGAATGTGACAACTGGTACATAGTGCAGACATACCTCTGTGGACCTTTGGGACATATTGCAGCCCTCTGTGAGCCCGTACAGTACTGTAAGGGTTGGTCCTTCTGAAACTCTTGCAGTTTCAGGCTGTCTTTTTGTATTCAGCATTCAATAATCAAAGAAAATGAAGGAATAGATCCAATATATGTTCCTGGTCTTGGTAAGTGTCTCAGATAAAAAAGTTGATTTTTGGGCAATTTGATCCTACTTTAGTCATTGACATTAGTCATCTCCCTACCTCAATTTAAAAATTTCTGTGCACTGTTTTGTAAAATGATATGGCAATGGAAGTATAATATCAACTCAGTATCAAAAGGTTCATTTCATAGCATTCCATACACACCGTATATATTCCTTTATTAATTATCATTTTCGTCCGGGGCAGTAGTAAGCATTTACTCCACCTGGGAATGTAGCATCTATCACTTCACTGTGAAGACAATTTAATAAAATTATCCAGGAAGTAGCTCCACCATCTAGTCATGCTGTTTTTAACATAAAAATGCCTTCCACATAATGTCTATATATGTGAGACAGCTAAGTATTTTCAGTTTCGTATTCCAAATTCTCCATAAATATTTTGGCAGCCATTTCAAAAATTGCTGCTCCACTGGGTTGTTTAGTAGACAGAAAAATTGGGTTAAAAAAACACCAGTCAGGAAATTCTTCTGCTAACTATCCATCTTAAAGCCACACTCTTTTGCCAATATTACATCTGTGATATGAACCTAAGTTGGTGGCTTAAGGAGAGTGCATGAACAAACATTTGCTTTAACTGTTTTTCTGTAAGATGTAAATGTGCATTCTTAAAATTATTTATTTTACATAATGAACCTGGGTGTTACAATTTACATTCTGCCAGGTTAAGAAGTTAACAAGGCTTCACTGAATAACTTTGATTCATTGCCTAACATTAAAATAAGATCCCTTTTTTCTCCTTCATGTCTTAATCCAAACCACATTGTGATCATGATGAGCTGTGCTGAAAGAAGACCTCTTGCATCAGCATTTAGACTTGCTCATTCCCAGCTATATGGAACAACAGTCCTCTTTTTAATACTTGTTATTAGGAATGTGGAAGAATGCAGCTAAGTCATATTCAAAATAATATATAAAAAAATAAATACTCTGTCAGAATTGACTTTTTTCCTTTTTGGAGTTAATCGCTGGAATTACTCCAGGTGTAAAGTTGTAGAATTTCCCACATGTCTGAATTTAGCAACTACAGTTCAACTAAAGGCCTTCTTGATCAGTTTCTAGAGATATTAAAGGGCATCAAGAAGAATGTGTTTAAAGTACTTACGAGGATAAGCAAGTCTGTTTCCTCTCTTGTGATTTTCATTTAGTCAAGATAAAATTGCAGATTTCTGTATTAGATTTTAAGGTGAGTGAAATTCAGGAATACTGAAAGCGGACAATGAACTCTAGTTCTTTTAGTTCTAACATGCTTTGGCAGGTATATGAGTTTTCAGAATAGTGAAAGTTCTTTGTCTCTGTCTGCTATGCTTTGGCTTCCAAGTGGATTAAAGTGGATATTCCTGTATAAGTGTGTACTTGGGAATTAGTTGGCAGTTTTTCTATTTTTTTTAAACTATTGTGCAATTACAGCCTTTAAGCTTTCTAAAATAAAAAGTACCTATTTCAAATCATTTTTGTGTTTGTTTTCCCAGGAGATCTGTCATCACTGTGAAGGGATACTAGAGAGGGTCACGTTGAATATTTCAGTTTGAGCTTTTTCCCTGAAAAGCAACAGGAAGAATAAATAAAATAGCTTGAGTTAAGGGGTAGCTCTGTGAAGTAGCAGCTTTGCTCCATTAAGCAAGAACTATGAAGCAACTTCTAGTGATTAGAGTTATGGGATGGTATCTCATTGTGATGAGAGAAATTAAGAACATATGGCTAACCATTTCTTTACACTAATGCTGGCTGGAGGGGGACCCTACTTAGTGTACTAGTGACCTGTTAAATCACATTTCTAATACACAGATGGGAAGCTCCCAGCTGTAGTGATCTTTGTATGGCAGGCCTGGGAAGTTTCATGTGAAGACCATTAATTTTATATTATTACTGCTTTTAGAATAGAATGTTTCCAGGGGTGGGGCATCTACAACCTCCCTGGCTGACCTGCTCTAGTGTTTCACCACCCTCACTGTAAAAAATTTGTTCCTCATATCTAGTCTGAATCTACTCTCTTTTAGTGTAAAACCATTAAATATGACTTGCCTACATAGGCACTGGGCCAATAAATATGCTGGGTATATTTCACTCAGGGGGCTAGTTTATAAGTAAAACTTGATGATTCTGTCAGCAGGAGAAAAGATTCCAGAGAGCTTCATGAAGCTCATGCCTACTGAAGGAAACTTTTGTGATGATGGTTGTTTTTAACTAGAGCCTGCTTTGTTTTCCATCCAGTGAGAGGACACATTTAATGTATTTTTTAATAATAACAGATATTGTCAATTATAATTTCGTGTTACTTACTGTTTTATCCCATTTTGTGCTGCCAAACCAATTGTCTTTCAGGAAGATTCTTAACAGCTACAACTTGATACTTACTCTTGCATATTTATAGATAAAAGCTGTAGTCCGTTGTGTTATTTTAAAATAACAACTTTTAAACTGTTATTATTTCCCCAACAACTTGTGAAAAGCACGCACAGAGCATTTGCAGTTAACCTTTCTACTATCTGCCCACTGTGATACACTTATGTGGTACTGTAAAGGCTGTTGTAAAAGTCACATTGTGACAAGAACTGGTCGAGTCTGCATGTTAATTCACATATAAAAAAGAATAAAATCCCTGGTTGAGGCTAAAAAATAAAAATATGTTGTGACTCTTCTTCACCACCCACTGACCCATTTATATTCCACAAATTCAAAAAACCTGGCTGTACTGAAGTTAAAGCATTTAATTTATGGACAAGCAAGCTTTTGTACTAAAATGGCAAGTTGGTAAGCAAATTACTAATATTTTGGTAAATGTAATTCATAAACATAGGAATTATCTACTTTTGCTTCTCAAATACAGAGCCTTTGAAGAAAGACAGAAGGAAGAAGAAGCAAAAGAACAAAGATTTAGAGAACAAGTTCTGCAGCAGAGGAAAATTAAATTTCAGGAGGCAACTGCTAAGTTCCGGCATGCTCATCAGTCTTTGTCTCCACATAAACAAACAGGTTTGTCAATTAAAAATTAACCATTATTCACAATACAAGTGTTTTTATATTCACAGAATCAGAGAATAGTTAAGGTTGGAAGGGACTTCTGGAGGCCATCAGTCTTTTCTATTAGTAAACAGAACAATTAACTTCACTCAAATAATTGAATTCACAAAAGCAAAACAACTGACAAGAAGCTCAGACCTGATACATGTGACAATTGGGTAGGGGAAATAAAAGCAGATTTCTTTTTTCTAAAAACCGTACTGTGAGATATTTCACAATATTCCAGTCACAGTAAGTACATGACCTCTTTGAGGTGTTGTGACTTCCTGGGTTTTCCCCACTTTTTTGACTGCAGTGTGCTTATTGGTTGCAGTACAGTGCTTTCACAGCTGAGTGAGAGGTGTTACAAGGCCACTGACAGTTACTAGAATAGTGTCATGATCCCGTCTTTGAACCTTTGAATATAAAATATTCAAAAATGTGCATTTTGTTTATCCTTATGTAAATTCAGTCCCAGGATATATTAATATGATACATAAGTTTTTTTTTCTGAATTAGTCCACTTTCTAAGCTGTTCTCTTGCTGGGAAGCAATGATCAGTTCAGCTCAGTTCCTGCTTTCTTGGAATCAGTGCAGATTGGCAGGAGTTTGTAACAGCATTGGCCAAGTCTGATTTCCCGTCAACTTTCCAGTGTTCAAATGCTTAAGATATGGTCTATTACTTAGGTATTCTTTAACAGATTTACTCTCCCAACTGCAGTTGTGCCAGCTGTGAGGTAATGTCTCTGACTTCAAGATCAAATGTCAGATTAAAATTACAAAATAGAACAGTACTGGCTTAGGACTTCTGCATAGCTCTACTGACAGCCCAGACTTTGTAGCAATACAAGGAATCACAGTTTTTTCTCTTGGTTTTCCTTTATAGAAATTCTGCCTCTGCTACTCTCTACCTTACTTCTATTGACTTGAAAGTGGCAATACATTGTGCCTGTCTGGACTCCTTCTTTCCCCACTGGTTCAATTATTAAATTACAATTTGGCCTCTATAAAATATCTACAAACCATAACATTGGCTTAGTGCATGAGTGGAATAATCATGATGTAAAAGCAAAGCTAGATTTTTTAACCTTGTATTTTTTCAACAGTGCAGTTTAAAAGCAAATAGCAAAACTGTTGAATACATGGGTGACTCTAAACTTGTAAATAGACTGAGATTTTGTTTCAGAGGAACTTGAGGTGCTCTTGCATGTCTAATAATGCTAAACTGCTGTGTTTATTGTAACTATCTGGACTTAGGCTTGCAAACTTCAGCAGCTTAACCAAACTATTTATGGTAAAATATTCCAATTTTAAAATACTTTCTCCCCGTTTTTTTTTTTTTTTAGCTCTGATCTCTCCAGTCCAGACAAATGCAGCTTTTCAGTTAGAAGAAGCTCTTGAACAAATTAAAGGATCAGTTTTAACACCAAACTTAAACAAAATCAACTTCAGGTAAGCATTCCTGTTTACTCTGATGATCAAAGGAAGTAATTTTCTTACTGTATTCAATAAACAGCAGACAATTACCTTTAAGAAATTGTAGGACATTTCTCTTGTGGCAAAGAAAGCATTTCTGTGAAGTTTTCCAATGAAACATTATGCAATTTCCTTGAGTTGTTTGTCTCCAATTGGTAAAACAGCATAGGAGATGACACAAACCTTTTCCCCTCTGTGGAATTCTGGGAATAGTCAAGACTAACTCAGTCTCCAGTCAGTTATAGTCCAACTCAGATTGCCATGGTTATCAAGCCATTTGCTATTCTCAGAATTATTCCGTCTAGGTGATTTCTTATCCAGATTTTTTTCCTTTTGACATTGAAGGATACACTAGTTTATATGTTCACCCTAGGATCTTCTTTCCAGCTGTCATTCCTTTATATTTCTCATTCTTTATGTAAATCAAGAGCATCCGGGTAAAAACTTGACCTGTAATTTCATTTTATATCACATAAAATTTTATTTGCATACTTTTCATTCTACCCAAGCACTAAAATACCTTGACTTATAACAGAATGTTCCTTCATACATTGTTTATTTATCTGCTATATTCTCTACTGGTTCCTGGTTATCCCTTTCGTAATCTCTCATTTCTTTCTTCATAGCAGCTCAGGGGGTTATTTTCATTGTTGCTTCTTTTGTTATTCCTTTCTGCATTTCAGTTATTTTCTGTATGATATAAATTGTGCAAATGTTCAGAATAGAGATAAATCCTGTCTGAAAGAGGTCTCCCTACTTTGAGGCTTCAGTGTTCTTTATTGTGACATTAATACTCAATTTGTTTACATATGTCTTCTGATTAACACATTTTCAGGTGATAAATTGGTCAGTTAAGAAAATATTTTATAACTCATCGAGTTTAACACTCATGCTACTTTCTAGTCAACATTCATGGGAAGATTGCAGCAACAAAAACAAAGAAACAAACAAGAAATCTACCTGTTATAGCTAAGTTTAGTTTATGGCAAAAAATGTCGATGTTTCTGACCCCTGCTCCAGGTTTCCTGATCATTTGTCTCATTCCACTTATAGACTTGATTAAGGACAGCATTTCAGTGCCTTTATCATTTCTTTCTTTATTTTTCATATTTTTTCAAACTGCTTCTTGTGCAACATATTAGTATCTCAGGACTCATACAAACCACTTACTATTTTTTACAGTGCTATCACTCCATTTTTATTCGTTTAATTTTAAAAATTCACTGTCCTTTGATAACGATAGTGCCTTCTTTTTCTGGTTTTCATTTTCTTAACCTGATTTCCTAAGGAAATTAAATTTATATGTTCATACTCTTTTACAGTTTGTTTTCCCCTTGTAACCAAGTTTAAGAAAGAGATAAGAATCTCAAAGTTAATTATATTTCTCTAAGTTTGAAATTAGAAATTGCTCAAGGAAAAAAGATGAAAATAAGTGATGCCAGGGTCAGAAAGGTTTAAGAATTGAGTCCACAATGATCTATTTGGAGGTCATAAGACAGCCAGTACAGATAAAACAGAAGAGCATTTTGAGAAGGTTCTAAACAGTGAAGGTTCTTCAAAACTCACAGTTCTGAGCTGTAAAGCTTTAAACATTTCTTATAATTCCTTTAATTGGAAATTTTGGGATGGGTAATAACTAACTCATATGAAGTAGTACATACCTTCCTATATTTCTGTTGCTTCTTACAGTTCCATAAATGCTGAAGCTGAAAGTCTTGTGTCATCTTTAGAATTTACCCTTCCTCAGAAAGAGAATGCATAGAATTCATTGACTGTCTCCTCTAAAAGGAAGAAATGAATACTGTATTAAGTATGCAAGATAAATAATAGCTTCAGACCTAACTGAATATCTGTGAATTTTAAAAGATTCTAGAATTCATAATGTCTGTGCTTTAAAAGGTGTAAAAAATACATTAAGCAATGGAGACATATTAACTCCTCTTGGAGAAAGCTAAAGTCCCGAAACACCTAGTAAGTGTATGCCATACTGCAGTAAAGCCATTTTGCTTCTAGTAGGGTTTAGTTATTACATGCTAAAGCAAAGATTTTGGAGAACTCATTAGCCAGCAGACACTGGGATGTTTGTACATTAGGTGTGTAAATGGCATGCTGCTCTTTTAACAAGATATATTTCCCTGTTGGTGTTTAAAATTGCTGTGTTTGATGAAGTTCAGTCTTGGGGTATAAACTTTAATATGACAAATCAAAAATGGTCTATAGAAAAGTTGGAATGTTGAAACTTTTATAAATATAAATGGTCTAAACATGTAGAAATTTTTATAAATATGAATTGTTGAAGTAGTCAAATAAACATAAAGAAAGTTCTGTGTGTCCAAAAAACCAACAAATCAGATTTTTGAGGGTCAGGTATCAGTCAGTCTGGTCCACAACAACAAAAAAGTTTTGGGATAGGGAGGATATCTGCCATGCAATAGAAAACAGCATGCAGTATTCTGAGTTCAATAAATAAATATAAATATAAAAAATAAATTCTGAGTTATATAAATACCTTTGTTCGTCAGCTATCCCATCAGAAATAATAAATTCCATTTTAGGCTCTCCTTAGGTCACTACAATTAAGCCAACATTTTTTGTATAAAATCTCCAGAAAAATAACAATAATCTTAATGGTTTGAAAGTTTCCATTTTCCATTGCTCTAAAATTATAAGTGTTGTGATAAATTTAAAAAAAAAAGTCTTTTTATTTACCCACTTGAAACAGATCCACTGAAAAAAGAAGGGATAATTTTAAGTGTAGGAAGAGAAAGCTCAGAAGAAAGACCTTGAGCTGAAGAAATGGATAGAAATGGAGGAAAGAGGTTATTGAATTTCTGTACATTTGTGAAAATGTATCTTCAGCTAAGAGCTCGTCAGAGGGCCCAATTACAGTAGCTACTCCAAAGATTTTTTTTTGTCAGGCAGCAAATACCAGTTGTTTAACATACCACAATACTGACATTACACATGGTTGGTAGATTTGGATACTGGATACTAGAAAGCCTTCTCGCTCTTTGAAGTAAGAGAATACCTGACAGCATCAATATAGTTACAGTCTGAATAAGCCAACTTTAAGGAAAAATAAAGCCTATTTTCCTTTTTGTTTTTTCTTAAAAAAAACAAAAAAAACCCCAAAAAACAAAAAACAAACAAAAAAAACCCCTCTATGTTCCGTTTCTCTAAATTACCGTAAATTACCAAACTGTTGGCTGACATTTTCCATATTAATGCAGCCTGAGGCAGTCACCCAACAACCCAATCAGAAAATTCTATTTATAAATAACAGAAGAGAAGTTTTAAAATGGAAAGTGTTGGACACTCAGATAGTACTAACAGCATTTGTCGGGCTTTTCATCATGTATTGATGGTGTATACTTTTGGTAAGAAACACATTTAAAATGTACAGTTGATGCATAGAAGTAAGAAAAAGTAATAATTTGCTTGTTTGTATCAAGAACCACAGATGACACTTCATCCTCATCAGCATCTAGAAGAGATTCTTTCCATCAGAAGCAGAATTCAGCAATGTTTGGCAGTGATGAAACAATACAGGAGAGCAGCAGAACACACATGGATAGTCACCAATTTCTCTTCCAGAAAAATCTGAAAGAAATACAACAGCTCCTTGAAAAACAGCATCTCAACAGTTTGGAGGTATGATATTTTCATTTTCATGTGATTCATTGCAAGATGGTTGTAAGTGTGACAGAAAGTTTCTTCAATGTGATAAAAATGAAACTTCTGTTCAGCTGTCTTTTTGAATTAGACAACACAGGAGGGTACATTGTACTATGCCTTATCAATAGATTATTTTTAGTAAAATTATACATATTTTCCAGTAAGAAATAAAAGATCTTTAAAAATATTTGTAAGAATGTTATCACAAGTTCATCCAAGATATGTTGTCCTTTTTTTTCCTGTTTATGTGAGATTTGTATGTCAGACTTCTTATCTCTGACACTGGTAGCCAACAGTCGATCATAGGTGTCTTGTGCTACCTCTGAACTTAAAATGCTGGTTTGCAGTGCATCCAGGTTTCTGCTGTGCTGATTGTGACAGGTCAGCACAAAATGCTATAGCAGTATAATGATGGCATGTCAAATGTTGGGGGATTTTTTTGTTTGGTTGATTTTTCCCAGTGTGTGGTGGTACTGACTTCAAGTCTCTTGAGACCCTTTTTTGTCATCTTTGGAATAGCTGCTTCCAGCAACGAGCTTTTTCTGCCTGAAGTCATTTTTAGACCAAAATCAGTTTAAAAAGTCACCTTTTGAGAACTAAGCTCTAAAGTGATTTTTATTTGTGCATCTTTAAGTGTGATTTTATGTCTCAGTGTTGTCTTTGATTTTGGAAATACTGTCGTCAACATTACATTTTCTGGAAAAAAAGAGGGCATACTTTGAGGCTACTCTTTTATTTCTATAATATCTACTGGTATCCAGAGTCGTGTTACCAGAAATGACCTGGACTCCACGAAGCCCATCCCTCTATTTTGGTTGTGGCTGGAGGCATCGAATCATTGGTGGCCATAGAGCAAGGGCTTTTCCTTTTAATACAAGTGTATGGATAATTTGTGAAAGACTTGAGAGAGTTCAGATATGGTTTGATATTGATGTATCTAGGAGCATTCATCTCTGCCTTTGTATCTATTTTATTATGATGGTTAAAATGCATGAAAATCTTGAGCAGCTGATGTCTAACAGAAAATCTCAGTCAACTGGAATAGTTTGTACTGGCAGTGCTCTTTCTCATTTCTAAGCATAAAAGAAGGAAGAAAAAGTGACAATTTATGGAAGAGAGCTGATAAAAATGAATTCTAGATAACCACTTTACAAAAATAGGAAAAAGTCTAAGCTTTTTTTTGAATAATATCCTATTTGCATTTCACTGGTAGAGAGTTTGCAAATCCCTTCCTAAATGATGATGCTGAATTTGGCAGTAGCTGCATTAGAGCATCTTAGAATTAGAAAACAAAACATGCTCTCTTAGAGAAAAAATATATAAAAAGATTCTTCAAATTGTATTTTATGACTTCTATATTGGAGTGTTTTATCAAACAGAATTATCACTTCCTAAGTGAATTCTAGGGGAAAATGGCTGAGTCATGCATAATTTTTTGCTTTCAGTTTTTTCTAAATGTTATCATCAACTTTGGACACTGCATATAATATAGGAATTTGTTTTTACAAATTAATGTATTTTTGAAAATACCTGTAAAAATTTTTGCTTTTGTTTCCCAGAAGGTATTTTTCTGTTACCACTAGGGGTTGCTCAGCTTCTTTCCTCTGATGAATAATTTCAAAATGTAAATATTTATATTTCAGATATTTGGACTTGCGTTCTTAAAATTGCATGCTTTGGACTGTGATTAGAAAAATAGTCAAGAAAGCTATTGACCTTGTTCTAAGGCCTGAGTTTTGGAAGTTTAATACTTGGATTGTGCTGGTGTCTGGTGTGCATGTGCATTGTGACTTCCTGTTTTGTGAAATAATATTTTTAATACTCTAACTAATAAAATTTATAATTTATAATGATTTAGAATACTGTTACTGAAATCAATAGACTTAAGTAGTCTTGATACTGCCTGTTGTCCAAAGTAATTTCTGAAATTAAAATATTTCACTGTGCACATGCTTTGCAACCTGGCCATCCACTGAGATCCTTTGACCTCTCTTTGTTTCTGTTTTTACAGGCCCAACAGGATTATAAAGATTCCTAAAATTCTTTACTTTCCTACAGGGTAATAAAGTTCTATGTGAAGCTTTTACCAGTAGATTTGTTGTGTTCCATGCTTTTCTAAATATTTGTACAGATTCATTGGTAAGCCATGGGTTTTAGTGGCTTCTACCATTTTCCAAAATTATTTTGTGTAAAGTATTGAGAGCAGTAGATTTTGTTTTGTGCAACAGTTGCATCCAAGCCACTACATCAAAATTACTGTTTTATGTGTATAAGCATGATCCATTTTGAAGAATTTAATATTGCTAACTTCATTCACAAAAAAAGGTTTTGTCTCGCCATCTTTTCCTGGTTTTATGCATATATAAATAAAATCTTTAAGGTGGAGCTGGTAGCATGGTCGTTAGCTAAAGCTGCATGCAGCTTTTCACCAAATGACATTAGACCTAAGGTGCTTAACATTTTTTTTTAACTGTTAACTCATTATGTTGAAATTTTTCATTTCTGGTATCTGCCTTGAACTGAATTATTTAGAAAATTTCCACTAAATGGCTCAAATGAGACAAGAAAGAGTATTGTTCAGGTATTTCTTGTCTTTTTGTTTTTGTCACCTCTTCGATTTCATGGCCATGCAACATTGTTTTGGTCAGTACTGTATTTCTAGGCTCTACCAGAAAAATACATTATGCCTGAATTAAACTGATAGCATAACATTTTATGTCTATCATTTCATTTTGTAAACAAAGTTCTTGGAAGAACTAATTCAAGACAAAATAGGTATAGATTATCACATGGAGATTGTATTTTCCTCTTCCCCCTTTATGTGACCATAATTAGATTCCTCAAGTGGTAGCTGTAAAATCCAAATTTAAATCCCTTTCCAACTGATTTGAAGCAGGGCTTTTACCTTGGTTTACTGTTTTTTCTGAGCATATTGTGCAGCCGTTGACATACTCAGTACCACTCTTTCTATGGATACCATTCCCCTTGGAAGAAAACACTTCAGTATTGAAATAGGAATGAAACACCAGTATCATTTCTCAGATATTGCAACCCAAACCCTAAGCTCAGCAGGTTATTCTTATATTATGTCTAATACAGAAAAAAAAATTGTATCTTACTATACTGTGTTTACACATGTTACATGTAAAATCATATAAGTCTCTGAGAAACAATGAAGAATATTTTCCACTGAATGGCATGGACATCACCTGCCTCGCAGGAGTTCACTCGTAAGACTGTTAGCTGTTTGTGTTACTGTGCTTTTGAGTTTCAGTGTCTGTGAAATTGAGATGTTTCAGGTAACTGGTGGAAAAACTGTAGTATGACTGGAATGAGTTAACCAAAGATTCCTTCTGCAAGAGGTGTTGTGTCAGTCTAATTATTCAGAGCCATAGGCAAGACCAGCATGGAAAAAAGGAGTGCTGTCTACAGAGTCTTTCCCAAGCATCAAGAAGTTTTAGAATGCTCAAGGCTAGTTAGTGGGAAAACAGACTCTGTCGGGGAGGCTTAGGATAAAATGGCGTTGAAGCAGAAGTTAAACTCGGTTTTGTAGAGACTATTCAACTACTTGAAATAGATTTCTACAGTCACCTTAAATATAGAAATGTTGGCGATTTTTTGACTTGTAAATGTGAGTGTTAACATTTTTATGTTGATCATTTAAATTATATGACAGGCCTGAGTGATTTCCTTATTTTCCTCTTGGCAAGAGGAGAGGAGTTCAGTTTTCATTGGCTTTCAACCAGTATTGTGACTAACGGCTATCTTCCACATTATTTCAGTAATCCAGAATTCACATGTGCTATAAAGACAAATGAAAATGTATCTCCAGACTAAATTATTTTACCCAAATACTCCAACTTGTTTTGATTGTGTATTCCTCAAAATAGGTTTTGAGGTTTTGGGGGAGGTTTTCATAAAATAATTTATTCTAAACTTGTGCTGTATAAAATCACGTGACAATCTTCATACCGACCATCTGGAATTCATTCAACAGTGTCTTTTCTCAGTTCAAAGCACTTCTTGAACAGGTAATACTGTAGGATTGAAGCTGAAACAGCTTTTCTGTACAAAAGGGATTGTTTCAGAGTTGTACTAATACATGGATAAGGTTTTGTTTGTAGGTAAATTGTGATTGTTATACATACAGCATAGCTCACAAACCACAGGAACAAGGAAATTGATAGTGTCCTTTAACATATACACGTTCATTTTTTACAAGCATATAGTTTTTTGATAAGAATTGCCATACATATTAGTGTGATTCCGTTTTTGGGTTTATGTTCATATACATATATCCATGTGTGTGTATGTGTGTGTGTGTGTGTGTGTATATGTGAAATATATATAGCTATGCACTAAAGTATTTTTACTATACTTCATGACTGGTTTTGGAGGGATTTGTTTTACTGCAGCAGAGTAAGATGTTCATAAATGTAGCTGAAAGAAAGGAAGAAAGTAAAAAATAGCAGTATCAAATCTTCAGTGTACTGCAGTTACAGTAAGATGTTTGCTTGCAGGAAGGGACTGGAAGATGTAAAGTTTGTGCATATGGATCTACCAGGATGCTGCATTATGCTAATGGGGTATTATCTACCCCATTATACTAGGGATAGTATATACTGGTGTCTCAAGGGGATGTTGGAAAATCTATTGATTTCTCACAAAGATTAAAGTATCAATCTCCAAAATAATTTTACCCCTTTGAAGATGACAGAGCTGTGTTTTAGGTTTTTTTAAAAAGATAAGTCTTTTGTGAATTGTAAAGCAACAAAAAATTCAGCTACTTTTTTCTATCTTAGTATTCTGTTTCTATCCTAGTGTTCTAAGGGTGGCCTGGATACCCAGGAGCCTAGTCAATTATTACATTTTTCTTATATTAATAATTATAAACTTGCAGCAACACTTCTGTGGTATCTAGTAACCTGAGCTTTGCTGGACAGTTTATGCCCAATGCTTCCATATCTCCTTAAGGAAGTATGGTTCACAATAAATAAAGTACAAAATAAAGCATCAAACCAAACACCCAAAATTCAGAGGACAAGTATAAGCAGAGAGTAACTGGGACCTCTTTCAGAAAACTGAAAGTTCATATAATAAACAAAGAATTGCACTATTTCAAACAGTGGAAAGATTTTTTTAAATTAACCTTTAAATTTGGTTGGCTGTTTATGGAAGGTTAGATGCTGAAAGCTTGGACAAGTTTTTATAAATCAAATCTGTCAAGTTCTTAGGAAGAATGTGTGTCTTGAAAATATCTGATTGAAAAAAGTTGAATTTGTACAACAGGTAACATATAAGTCAAAGAAATTTTTTTTCAAGATAAGTGATTATGTTAATGAAGCATGTGGTGAATGTTGGAAATTACATGAAATGGTCTTATTAGGTAAATTTATTTCTGGAAAGATACAAATATAAATAATAGAAAATGCTTAGATACATCTTTTAGCCTTCTGGTTGCCCTGTATGGAGTCAGGCTTTGTACTCAGTGATCCTAGTGGGTCCCTTTCAACTCGGGATGTTCCATGATTCTAAATGTATTTCTGTATCTTACCTTTAGTATTTCCTTACATAAATCCACCTTCTGCCCTGGCTGCTGCTGTGCAGTGCACAAGAGTGGGACCATGTTAAAAACTCTTCCGTCTTTACAAAGTATACTGCTAAAAGAAAAAACAATCCTTTTTCATTGACTACAAAAATGGATACTATTTTTTAGAAAATAAAGAGCTCTAGACGAGTAGTTCCTCAGCTGAACAAGAGATTATTTTAAAAATTGTATTCATACACTGATTAATTCAGGAACTACGTACTAGTCAAATAATATTAATCTATTCTTTTTTTACTGATGTTATGGCTCCAGTTCATTCAAATCTATAATCATTCAAATGATTATTAGTTAAACACTAAAGAACTTCTAAAATTCATAGTTCATATCCATGTCCAGTATTTCTCTTAGAAGAGAAATCTGCCTTATTGTGGTTTTTAATTATGCAGTCCCATGATATTGTTACATGACAAATTTGTGGGGTAGAAGATGCCTGCTCAAACGGAATTTATTAATGGGTTAGAAACAAAAAAATAAGGGAACAATGCTTTATGGTGCAGACTGCCTCAACATTTAATAATTTAAAAATTTTAATAGTATTTATACCTAGCATTATAAATTGTACTCCTGGAATTGAATGACTAGATTAGTGTGTGAAAGTTAGACAGCTGGGACAGGGTACCTGAGAAACAGCACTCTGAGTACTGAGATGCTAAAGCAACAGAGACAAGTTCAGCTGAAAATCTATTTCCTACACAATTATGCACATTAACCTCAGGGCTTATTAAGACTGAAAATCAGAATGAAACATTGGTACTCAGGGTTCAGATCGCTTTTCTTTTAAATCTTCTGATAGCATGGCTCACTGAATTTGCCCATATGCCTGTGAAATTAGAAACAAGTTCTTTTTATCCTGAGAAGTTTGAACCTGCGTTTCTAGCATCCTGTGATGATTTTCCAAACAAGCAAATCAGGTCCTTTCAAAAATTCATAGATTCATGGATAGGTACTTTCTGTATCCTTAGTGTGGGAGGAGATCAGGCACCTAGGCATCAGACTGGGAAAGACAGAGGTGTTGATAGCAAGCTTTTCTCTGGTCATCCTATACCTTCATAGCTTCTTCGGTGGGTTTGGCACAATGGAATGGATCTCTTGTGTAAGGTAAGCACGAAAATCCTTTCACAATGTAACTTGCTCTCTTGAGTCTGCCCAGATCTTCTGAGGAATAAGTATGTGCAGTGCTATGTACCTAATGTTTTTCAAACTCTTCTAGAAATGAGATTTAATTTTGAATGGACTTTCCCATTCCATAGTTGATAAATTTGAAATGAATTGTTTAGGTACCTCACTGGCTTTGAAAGTTAGTTTTGCATCTAACTAAGTTCAGTGGTGTCTTCTACTTCATAGTCAATGTCAAGTGTAACATGATAAATATACATTTATTAAAAGCAAAGAATTTCTGTAAAGAAACCGGTTGAAATTATCAAAAATAACAAGTAGTGTGAGAAATGTGAGGGGCCTCAGTTTTCAGAGCAGGTAGCATTTTTTTAGGATTTTACCTTCAGAAGAGTGTTCCCATTCACCTCTTGGAATTACAAACAGTCTGCACTTCTTTTGCGAAAAATGTCAAATACACATGTAGCAGCTCTTTAGTGTAGTGGCATTCTGACAAAGTCCTTTGGCAGAAAATTCACTGTCAGGTTCACTAAAAATTTTACTTGTTGCTATGTTGTTCTTTCACTGGCCTTATGAAAGATCTCTTAGGCTCATGTTTTCCCTTTGTTTTAGTGCTTTACTGAAACAAAATTGCTTGACAGCTGTTCTAAGTCCTAAGACATACAAGTGACTTCTTTAACTTATCAGAGATATTCCTTTCCTAGGGATGTGGATATGTGTGGGTGTTAAATTTCATGCATCATAACATAAGATAATGCAGGCAATAGGCAATACAATAAATTGTACTTATATAACAGGAAAAATGCAAATCCAGTAAATAACAGTATAGTACTCTATGAACATTTTGTTTTCTTATCATCCTATAATATTCTCACAGATCAAGTAAAGTTAAGTCATTGAGATTTCCAGGTTTATTTCCCTGCATTTATTGATAACTAAAAAAGATAATTGTTGAATGCTTTATTATTTCTGCAGAAGTTCTCCTAATTACGTATTTTTACAAGGAAATGGGACATTCATTTGCATTACATAGCAGTCTAAAATGGGAAATATGTAAATATTTTAATGAGAATGTTAAGCATCTTTAATGTGTGAAAGGATGAAATTATATGATGCAATAAAATAAATGTAAATTAACTAAATTTGCATGAACTAAGTAAGAGTGAGTGTGTGTTTAAATGAGAACTCCTTCTTTGTTCTTTTGCTCCTAACATTTCTGGATGCTACCTCAAGATTTTGTTTTCCATGGGGTTTTGCTTTATAAGGAGCATGCTTTTTTACACAGTGTAGGAACAAGTATTTTTTTCAACCTCTGGAGCATAACTGCATAGAATTTTTTTATCTTAATTTTTAAAAGTTGGAAATTTTCTTGCACCCTCCAGATTTATCAGCTTAAACTAACCTGCTATCAAGAGGTTTTTTTAAATTGATCATTATAAAATTTTTTCTGTCTGTCATTTGAGAAACACATGTTTTGCTACACAGGTGCAGTTTCCAAATTAGACAAGAAGTTAGCCTGACAGCTGTAATTTTTTTCACTGTTTTTTTTTTTTTTCCTTCTGAATCTTTCAAAGTTAGTTCTTAAATTTGTCCCTATACAGAAAACTCTTGAGTATATGCCTCTTGCTTTTTGGGGGAAGTTCAGGCAGAGGTTAACAATATAATTTAGCTAAAAATAAAGGTTAATAAATAACTAACTAAGTGCTACTTATTCACTTCTGTTAGAAGGACACCGGTTTCTATAGGTTTAGTTTGAAAATGTTCCCTAAAGGGATCTCTCCCTACACTTCTTTCTTTGATCTTCTATTTAGTATGTTTATCTCAGATCATAACTATAATGGAAGACTGCACCAACCTCTAAACATTTAGTGTAAGATAAGATTTAATTTAATCATAAAAAGTTTTTCAGGACTTACAAAGCTTTTTCTTCTGCAACTTAATATATTTGTACAGCTATAAAATATACAATATTTATATATAACAATTTTATTGGAATAAAAAACATTTACAAAAATGTGTTATTATTCACTAAAGAATTCTGTTTGGTGAGTTTTGAAAATGTGAATTCTATGTCATTGCTAGGGGGTATATAGTCACTCACCTAGGTTAACAGATTTTGCTAGTTGAAACATCTTCCATTTGAAGTCACTAATAAAAAAAAATCTTTATTGCATAAGATTGCATATCTAATTCAGCTTCTCTTAATTTTTCACACCAATTTTGTCAAACATAAGGTTTAAAATTACTTTGCTGCTGAGGTGTGTGAAAGTGAACTTTCAGGAAAGAGCATATGAGACTGAAAATTGTTGACATGTTTGTTTTCCTTTATGTTCATGTGTATTTTGAAGTCTTGTACATAACAAAGTATGTATTTTCAACCATGTCAGCATCTGAGTGCTTGGAGAGAGGAGTAATAGTGAAGAAAACATTTGTATAGTGCATGCACACAGTTGTCCCACTGGTGTTTCAGATGATGCCATTTGCTGTTTTTCATCACTCCATTAAAATTTAATGAAAAGGTTAGGGAAGTGGATGAGAATCCCTTATGCCCTGGAACTTGATCTGTCCTCATAGGACAGGAGCTATCTTCTTCTTTCTGAAAGACTTGGAGTTTCACTGAGGGGAGTTGTTAATCACTGTTATTATGATAACCAAGAGACTTTTCTGTGTTTGCCATGACAAGGCTTAACTCCTCATCACTTGTGGTGCTTTGTATGGAAAGAAATATACTCAGTCTAGTATTATGGAAAAGTTGCAGTTTAGGGTAGATCCCGTATCAAACCTTCATTTTAATGGATTCTCTTTCAATTTCTAACTCAAGTACCCTTACAGAGGATGAAAACCACCCAGTCTCATAGGGAAATTCAGAAACAGTACTGTTGTTCAGGTAAATCAGTTCCTCTTTTAATATTGCAGAATTGATATATACTTTAAGATTACATTTGCCGAACTATGCTGCTCTCTCCTCTGGTTATCTTCCCAAACTATGTCATTTTCTTTTGCAATTTAACACAGGTAACTTTGGACTTGATGGAAACACTCAAGGAGATATGACCCTGAGTCATAAAAGCACTAGGTTCAATATTGATTTGGTCTAAGCTCTCATTAATGAAAAATTATTATCAGCAAAACCACATTTCTTATAAATCTGAGAGTTTGGTTTTATGCCTGTATTTCAGAATTTTCATCAAGAAGTCAAAGAAACAGATGATTCAGAAAGCCTGATGAGCCTTGACAGTCTTGAGGCTGGAGAACAAAATGGAAATTGCACAACACAGAGTGAATCATCTTTTACCACACAGTGTGACTGTGCCCTGTATGATCCAGAAAAATGCCAGACTAGGAATAATGGTTTACTTCACACAGATCAAAGTACTTCTAAAAATGCACATCTAAATAATTGTCTGAGAAATGTAGATTTGCTACACTACCACAACATACCTATTCATGATCTTTTAGCTAAATATAATGTTCTAACTCCTGCTGAACATGCAAACATTTCAGAAGAGGAATCATCTGCTTCTCACAGATCTAGAAAACAACCTGCAGAATTCTCTACCTCTGGTAAGCAAAAGAGCTCTGTAAGTAATGCATTTAGTTTTCTGCAAAATAGAAAAGACAGAAGCAAGCCATCTTCTGGAACAGCTCGCACATTTGCCACTGGTCATCCTGTTTTCAATCCTATCAGAGCCTGGGACAGCCCTGATTCTTTTCCAGGAGAAAAAAATCAGGATCCGATGCAAGATCAGAGCTTTAAAATGACCCCACAGGAGAGAACTAAATCTATGCAAGCATCCAGTCAACCTGTTGCAACATCTGTAATCTTATTTCGTAATCAGGGATGTTCCACTGGCATTCCCAGCACAGCTGATGTGTTACCAAAGGACAAAAACATCAGTACAGGCTTTTTAAAAAATACCTTAGGAAAAATGACTGAAACAAAAGAAGAAAATATTAAATGTATGAATGATATTATTTCAGAAACATCTTTGTTTCAGGGCATACCAAATGCCTCCGTTCTGTTGGAAGTTAAGCAACAGAATAATAAAGGAGGAAAAGGAAATATAATTGAAACTGTGTCACTTTTACCAGATGCAGAGTTCAATTCTGACACTCCTGCACAGAAAAAAATCCTGAAAAATAATATTCTTGAAAGAAAAAGAACAAAGTTATTCACAAGTATCTTAAAGAAGGATTCTAAATATGAACCCAGTCATTTTAAAGCTGCGGTTACAGACCATGGGATCAGTTTTGGAACTCAACGTATGTCATCTATCAGAGACAGTTTAGAACTGGCAAAAATAAAAAAGAAAACTGCAGAAAATGAAAAATGCAATAGGAAGCTAAAATGGTGTGATCAAATTGACCAGATAATAATAGAAAATAATGAAAAATGCTATGAAAAAAGCATCAGTGAAATATCTTCTTCACAGCTGCAGTGTATTCAAACTGCAAATAATGCTCCTAAGAACAATTTAAGTATTGTTGCTCAGCCTTCAAGCCCCATGTTCATAAAAAATCATCAGGAAAATTCTCATAAATCAAAACCAAATGTTAATACTGAAAAATCAAATAAAGAATACCCATCTCAATATATATTTACACCTACAGGATCCTTTTCTGCGAGGAAAGCTTGGATGGTATCAAAAGATGAAGCAAGTAAACCCCCAGTATGTAGCAATAATCCTAAAATTAAAGAAGGTGGTCAACTCAAAAATAAGGCAAAACTAGCCAGTAGAGCAACATCTGTAAGAGTCCAGTCACGTTTTATGCCCAAGAAGAGAAGAGGCACCATGATCCAACTGCAGTCAGCCACTGAAGCCAACAAAACTCACAAAGCTCCAGGGAAATATCTCACACCTCACCCACCTTCCACACCTCTGCCGGGAGACAGAAGTGTTGAAAACACAGCCAGCCCTGGGTGTCAGTCACAGCCGCCTGCCAGCCTGCAAGCTACCAGTGCTAGCAACAGGGATTTCACTGACAGGCATGTTGTGCTAGCAAGTCAGGTTTTAAACAGGAACAGTGCAGAAAACAGTGAGAAGGCTGCTGGTTGTGCTGGGTTGGTCACTGCCATCTCTACACCTGACTGCAGCACGGCCAACTACAAATCTTGGGCAAAAAATACTTGTTCTGTAAATAATGTTCAGGCTAGCGCCTATCAAGATAATTCAGTAACTTGCTCTGAGAAAAGACCTGTTAACACAGAAAATGGATTACATCTCTATCATATCCCAGCAGCTGGAAAAACAAGCACCTTCTGGCACAGAGCACATTCTACCCAAGCTCCAAAAGACTCTGCTACTGGTAAGAGTCGTGTTTCTGGGTCTGGGGTGGGGAGATGTTCAGACAAAAGTCTTCAAATACATCACAGATTTGTTTTCAGTTAAAACATCCAACCTGTCATCCATTCACACAACACAGCCAGTTTTAACAAGCTTTCACCATTTTTCATTCTCATTTCTATTCTAGTGGTGCCCAGAGGCCTCTCAAACACCAATCCTCATTTCTAATAGCTCTCTGCAATATTAAATTAAAAGGAAGTATTTTTCCTGAGATTATGTCCATGACTAATGAGCAGATGTGACAGGTGGTCTAAATAATGATATAGGAGGAAGTGACTATGTTTATACAAGTGAGTTTTACAAGGTAACTGAGAGTGATAGCTTGTTTTCCAACAGTCACTGCCACATGAGAGTGAAAGAAGTTTAGTTCTACTGTTTTTAAAATTCTGACACTCTAAATCCCTACAATTACTGAGAATTAGTCCAAATAATACTATTAAAAGCTGAGGAAAAATTAAAGATAAGTTAAAATTAAAGAGCTTCTGTCAGACAAACTTCGCTCTGCTGCAAGGTATATCTGATTTTTAAAGAATTTTAAGACATTTGAGAAACAATCCTATATTTTATTAAAAATTAACCTTGGGAACAATATGAGATACAGATTGGTTGGTAAGATACAAGAAAGATGGAGAAGAAATTTTTGGGAGAATAAATTTTAATCTCCTGAGGTTTACATTTCGATTTACATTTCATGCTTTTTGATTTGCCTTGTTTGTCCTGTGCAGCCTAGCTATATTCTGTGCCTTGGGCACTGATGACATCCTTGTACTTGTAATTTCTATGTAGTGTGCTTCCTACTGAGGGCTGCAGCTGGAGCTCCTGAAACTGTAATCCCTGCTCCAGGTACAAGCAGTACTCCAAACTGCTTCACATACTGGGATCGCCCCAAGGATTGGTCATGCAACTCAAAGATACTTTCTAGCAAAATAATGAATACCCATAACTTTAAACCCCTCCACGTTTCTAGTTTTATCTACACAGTTTTAACTGTGGAGTGATTCAGAAAAACTCTGTTGTGTAAGAGCAGATGTAGGCAGGTGAATGTTCTTGGCCTAAAGCAGGGGTGGGAAGAGAAAATATTATCTGCTTGTCTGTTCCAGTTCAAAGTCAAACAGATGCATTTAAGATCTGTGTGACTTAACCTATTTGATTTTACATTGGAAATGAATGAAGACTTGCATTACCACACCTTGCCTCCAGCAGAGATTTTTGTCTCTTGATGTCCTTATCTGCACATCAGATCAATGAATCAGGAAATGTCCTGGGTCCAAGTAGTGCACTACTGACAGTGTCTTCACTGCAACTTTAAATGCTGCATCCCCAATGTCACATACCTCCAGCTCTTTTAGAGAAGGGCTGAGTAACTGCCTTTTAAAATTTATATAGGTTGCCCTCTCTCAGCATCTGCTTATATTTTGTATTTTGAAAGTCTTCTTTATTTTAAATACTCTAAATAACTCTTACTGACTTGCTGTTATTTGTTCAGTTGCCTGCAAATGCACATAGACACCATAGTCTTGTCCTAAAGTGCTTGCAGTGAGACTGAATACTGCACTGCTCTCTATTAAAATATCTGCAGAGTTCCATGAAATCTGTGAAGACACATGTAGAAAATGTGATCTGTTGTACCAAAAGTGAGAACCAGATGAATACAATTGTTGTCTGTGAGGATCTTAATTTAGTTTGGCTTCCAGGCTTCAAGTTGTATATCTTCTGCCTGACACATATTATAGCATATTATTGTAGCTGGATATTAGCATTTTTAACATCTTTCTTTTTCAGTTGGTAAAGGCTTTAAAAATTTGTTTAACTTTTAGCCTGCGACAAATAAGGGGCTAATTACTATAATATAGTTAAATAGCAGTAGACTGCTCAGTATCTCATTCCCTTAAAGATACTATTATTTTGTCCTATATGTCTCAAAGGAATCTTCTCCTTGGCATTGATCTAGTCTTGCAAATTAATTAAATTAAGTATTGATGCATACACACAGACCAACTTTGAATTCTGCTTTTTTTCAGAAAGACATTATGTAATTACTAATATAACAAGGGGGTTCTTCTTTTTCTTTTTCTCGTCTTTTTTATTTTCTCTCATATTCAGTATAACGATCACATTTCCTTTCCTTTTCCAGTGCTATTAAGCACCATGTATCATGTTACAATAATTTGCATATAACTAAATGACAATGTTTCAAAGTTAATGTCCCCCGTGTTACTATTGATGGCAGCAGCCAGATGACTAGCTTCAAATATGTTTCTAGGATCTAGTTCTTTTCTTTTTCTATGAGTGATAAGAATTCTGCTTTAATGTCACTGTAATAACCAGAAAAAATTAAATTGTGTTAGAATCAGTAATACAATTCTTGGTCAAATTATGAACTGAACTACATATAAATATTTATTGTGTAAATAAATAGGTAATTTGTTTTCCCAAGTTTAAATCAATTAACTCCATTTACAAATCTAGTAATTGTGTTTACAAGTAAGAATATAGTATCTCCTTGGTATGTAGATTCCTGAGTGGCACATGCAAATACTAATTTGCATCTCCAGCCTGTATGCATGGAAGTTTAATTAAGAACATAATTTTAATTTTGAAACTTGCCACTTCAATTTTGAAAATGTATTGCTACACCAGACAAAACTGAGATGAATTTAAAGTACAGTGTCTAGATTAGACCTCTCTGGCTGAGAGAAAATGCTGTACAACAGTACTGTCTTTTAAAATTCAGCACAAAGATGCATGAATTAATAAGATTAACTACAAAATGCCAAGCTCTAGAAATAAGGTTTAAATCCATGACTTTTAAACCTCACAACACCTGTGAGGCCACATCTGGAATACTGTATTCAGTTCTGGGCTCCTCAGTACAAGAGAGACATGGACATGCTGGAGAGAGCCTAGTGAAGAGCCACAAAGATGGTAAAGGGACTGGAGCACCTCTCCTATGAGGAAAGGCTGAGAGAGCTTGGAGTATTCAACCTGGAGAAAAGAAGGCCTTGGGGAATCTTAATAATGTCTATAAATACCTGAAAGGAAGCTACAAAGAGAATGGAGCCAGGCTCTCTTCAGTGGTGCCTGCTGAAGGTACCTGAGCAGTGGATACAAACTGAAACACAGGAATTTGCACTGGCATAAATTGCCCAAAGACTTTCTTGAGTCTCCATCCTTGGAGTCACTCAAAAGCCATTTGGGCATGGTCCTGGGCAATGAGCTCTATGTGGCCCTGCTTGACTGGGGACACTGGACTAAATGGCCTCAGAAGGTCCCTCCCCATCTCTACCATTCTGTGATTTTGTGACTCGAAAATCTTTGTGAACTACTGCATTTTTTCTGCACACTACTATGTAATCTTAATGAAAGTTGAATCAATTAACACATAGAACAATTTATCAACAGTGATTTGTAGTGTTGGACAGTTAGACTTTAAGATTATTCTCCAAATGCAATTTATTTTCTAAAACACTACTTATTTGATATTTTTTATATCACAGCTCACCTTCCGTTCTCCCTTTTACTCGGTAAAACCACCTTGTATCTCTGTACAGACCATCTTTATTATTTAGGACTCAACATAGGGCTTCACTTCAGCTGCTTATTTCTACATCCAAGACAATTTAAGGAGTTCAGATGTAACTATCTAAATGTGAATAGAGACATTTACTCACCATTATTAGTTTTGCTACTACTGTATTTAACATGTTGTTTGCACATTTTTGGTTTACTTTTGTCTGCATGTCATTTAAGGTGGTGTTCCTGTTACAAGACAAAATCAGGTTTTTGACAACTATGAAAATAAACACCAAGCTTTTTCGGAATGCAGAAGACAAAATGTTGTCTCTAAAATATGGAAGCCTGCTCATCATGCACAGGTTAATATAAAATACTATAAAAAATTAAAATGTTATTTATTTTCAAAATGGAAAGAGTTTCAGGAATATCACAGATTTGTTCATTGTCACATGATTTTGAATCAGTGTGCTTAGTCAGTTTGCTGTCACTGCTAATGAAAAGAGTAAAACCAATTAGAATACATCTCTATATTTGTGTACAGTAATATTTTTTCACTTGAAAACATTTGGTAATACGAAATAATAAACAAAACATGTTCAGAAGGTAGTAGAGTTACCTTAAATTATACTTAAAATACTCTTACAATATTTTTGATAGAATTCCTTATGTGCTCTCCAGCTGAGTCCCATTCAGTCTGCCTTTGATCCAGTACAAAAGATGAAAAACACCTCTAAATCTGAGGAAGGTATAGTAACACAACTCACTTCACTTCTTTGTTATACATAAAGTAGAATGACAGAATATACACTCTGTGTAACATGACTTGTGTCTTTTGGCATCAATGATTGTAAGTAAGAAAGGGTAATTCCCTGCAAATGTAAGATACAGCATCATATAGCATGATATTAATTGTTTTATGAATGCGTTACAACATATATTCAATTTTCATTTCATTCCTGTTTGTTTTTAACTGTATATGTCACATATAACTGTATCATATGGTCAGGTATTCCTTGCTATCATTACATATTTCCAAACTCATTAGGACTTGCTCTGGTGTCATTTGTAAGATTCATCAATGTTCTTAATTATTTCATTTTCGAACATATAATGTTTCTTGATTTTGCCACCTCTTTCGTCTTTTAACATCAACTTTGTGTGTTTCACAGACTTACAGTCATGAAAACAAGCAGTTTATTTATATGCTTATTCAAATGAGCCCTTCTCGTTTGAAGTTCCACCTGTAATCTCTTCAGTTTCAGAAAGCACTGCTCAGTTTCTGGTGGCAGAAAAGCTAGCAAGTACACCAGTTGCAGAGAGTAAAATCCTGGCAGTCATGGACCATATGAAGCCAGCCAGCCAGCCCTCACTGCTTAAAAGGGCTCTGTGTCCAGGCAGGAGTGCTCTTTCCATAGAAGAACAGAAGATCTTCCAGTCTCTGGATTGTCTGAATAAAAAGCTACAAAGTAAGTTGGACAATAAATAGAATGCTCCATCAATTGATTAAATAACTTTATATTTTGTTGCCATAGATTTTTTTACTAAAAACAGGAATTCTGTTATAGAAATATTTTCTATTATTGTTGTTATTGTTATTTACTAAATGTATGAAAATCAGGAATCCTTTCTTTAAGTCAATGAAATTAATTTAAAATAATGGTGACTTTATCTTGGTAAAAAATAACTCTAAATGTGATGGGAAGGCACCTTTAGAAACTGGGCTCAGAGTAACAGTAGATATTGTTTTTAAGAGATTTTTGTCAAAATTGTTCCTTCAAGGTGCACCAGGTGCATCAGCCTCACTAGGAAATCTGTTCCAAAGCTTATCCATCTTATTTCTTTTGCAATTCTTTTTGCAAATTATTGTCCTCTATGTCATATAGTTTTGCAGATGTAGCCCTTTATAATGAATGGCTTTTCTTATTTGTAATATTTTAGGATGTTCTTCTTCTCAATTAATTCTGAAAGGCTAGAAATAATGAGTTCTGACATTGCTGCAGATAAATCTAAATGTTTAAGTGAATATTACTTGTGCAGCCATTTTAAAAATGTCAGACTTACCTAAGTGTTCTCTAACTTGTTCTTCCTTTATATCAGGTGGATTTCTTACCTGCTTTAAACTGGTGCTCTTTGTATGAACTCCCCAATCACATCTTCCTGGCTGTGAAGAATGTGGGGGAAAAGTCTGTAAAGTCTGTTCTTGATAATTTTTTCCCCAGTGATTAATTAGCTATGATAACTATTACACTTGAAGACAAGCTTACTTCTTGAGTCTCTTGTGACTTTAGGATATACTTTGATTGATGTGATCATACAGGTCTTCCATTAAAAATTCACATTGATTTGGCATAGTTTTGGTATTTTGTGTGCTTCATCCTGTACTTGAAATCAGTGGGGACCTTATGACTTAGTCTCTTCACTGGTCTGCTTGCCTTTTTTATATGATTGAAATAACTGCTTGCTATTTGTGCTCTACGTGGAATTTCCAGCTCTCCTGAGTTTTACATTTTCCTTGGACTTTTTTCATATGAAATTTTACATGCCAATTTTTTGAGTTTATTAGAGTGTGCTTACTTAGTCTGTTGATTTCACTTTGCTGTTCCACTATTCCTTCTGGACTACACCATTTTATGGTCAGGTTACCCAAGTTTACCCCCTTATTGACTGGAATCAAACTAAACCAGGGCTTATTAAACTTCTGCACACTATCCATATATTTCTACATTACACGGTGAATAGTCTGAGGAAAAAGGCTTCAGTTTCCTATAAACGGCAACAGTAGAATAAAAGATCTTTGCAATTGTTTAGAAACTTTCTTCAGCTGTAGCTTACAGTTGTTGCTCTGTCAAATAGTGGTTCAGAATTTCATTTTATCATAACCTGTGGTTATTGCTCCCAGGCAAATGGAAATGAAAAAATACATTTTTTATCAGAGAAATGTTTCAGTACGATGTGCTCAGGTTAAGAAAGTAGATATGAGAAGAAAAATATGAGCATATAAAACTAAATTTCTGTATAAGTAACAGAGAAATGACAAAGAAGGGAAAGGTAAATTCAGCAAAAGAACTGGGAGCAAGAACACTGAAGTTTTCAAAATGTGAAAAGGAAAACTGTAAGAAAAGTACATAGCAATATGGAAGAAACAGTGAAAGAATCATAGGAGTTAACAGATTACAAATGAAGTGACTGAAAGTTAGTGTAATACATATACATACATATGTATACCAGAAATTTAATTAGCTTGCCTAATTATTTGGGGATTAAAATTGGTTAATAGGAAGCTGGGAAATTTTACAAGTAGATTTACATGTAAGTACTTGTAAGTAAGTGTTGTAGGTATTTACATATCATACAAGTACATTGCTTTTCTAAACTGTTACCTTTTTGCACCCCCTCTTTTGGCTTTGTTTTCACATGTTACCAAATTAAAAAACTATGTAGCTTTATATTGGTCTTTTTAATGAAGAGCATTCAACCACTAGCCAATCTACATCCGGAATAAATGTTGCCAGAGACTAGATGGCATTTATTGAAGTATTTGTTTATATAATATTTGTTATATACTTCCATGCTTTTTTCAGATGTTCAAGAAGCCATTATCAGAAACTCATTTGCTTCACATGTTTTGCAGTAAGCAACCCTTAGTAAGTATTTAATTTAAATGTGTTCAGCTTTAATTTCTACAAACTAAGCTTATGGCTTATTTCATTGTAAAATTATAATTGAAAATACTGATATCAATCAGTTCAGCTGGCCTGCCCTATTTTCTGTTTATGTAAAAAAAGTCCCAACAAACATGATCTTTTTGTTACTGTAAACAGGCTTTAATGGTTTATATCAGACTATCTCATCCTCTGGTTTAATTTTTATTTTAGTATCTGAAGACACTTGTTAAGTCCAGGAACTGCCAAGAACTTTTAAGGAACAGTAGTTTAGCAGGGTCCATTTGAAGTATCCATAACTGATAAATAATTTGTATTTCTTAAAAACATAGAGAGAAAGGGGATAATTATGCATGGCAGTGCATAAAATAATTGTTAATGCAATTAATTCCTACTTTGACCTGAAGATATACCATTTTCTGTAAGTAGTACGTATTACCTTTCTTCAATAGGTATTTGTATTTTGTTTTGTATATTCTAGATCTTGTCAGTTAGAAACAAAATATGATACCTGGAATGTGAAGAAATGAATAGGCATATGAGTGTCTGAAGTACAAAATATACTTTTCAAAAGTTCAATGAATGATGCAGGAGTTAGTATTTATAATTCTGTATCATCAGTCTTCTATACTATAAATTTACACTGAAGAAAAATTATAGATATGACCATATACTTAGAAACATAGATTCACACAATTATTCTGTTTGAAAAAGTTCTCTCAGATCATCAAGTCCAACCATTAACTCAGCACTGCCCAGTCCATCCCTAGCCCAAATCTTTAAGTGCCACATCTACATATCTTTTAAATACTTCCAGGGATGTGGACACCACCACTACCCTGTGGAGCATGTTTCAATGACTGAAAACCTTTTCCATGATGAAAATCGTCCTAATATCCAATCTAAACCTCCCCTGGCACAATTGGAGGTTGCTTCCTCTTGTCACTTATTACCTGGCAGAAGAGACTGACCCCACCAGGCCACCCCCTCCTTTCAGGCAGCTGTAGAGTGATGAGGTCTCCCCTGAGCCTCCTTTTCTCCAGACCAAACACCCCCAGCTCCCTCAGCTGCTCCTCACAGCACTTGTGCTCCAGACCCTTCCCCAGCTCCGTTCCCTTCTCTGGACACGCTCCAGCCCCTCCATGTCTTTCTTGCAGGGAGGGGCCCAGAACTGAACACAGGATTGGAGCCGTGGCCTCAGCAGTGCCCAGTACAGGGGGACGGTCACTGCCCTGCTCCTGCTGGCCACACCATTGCTGAGCCAGGCCAGGATGCCACTGGCCTTCTTGGCCACCTGGGCACACCCTGGATCATGTTCAGCTGCTGTTTGCCAGCACCCCCAGGTCCTTTTCTGTCAGGCATTTTTCCAGCCACTGCCCCCATCCTGTAGCACTGCCTGGGGTTGTTGTAGGTTTTCTTTAACAAAAATGCTAAAGAAAATATTCTTTATTCATAAGGCTTTTTCAACTTTCTGATTTTGGGACAGAAACACCCCAGGAAGCATCCCAGCTCCTTAATTCAAAATGATTCCCTGGTTTTGAAGTGGGGCTGTGAAAAGACCACGGTGCACCAAGGCCTTTCTTCTTGTGAATCTCAGTAATAGATGTGACTTGGAACCTCAGCTTCCTTTCTTCTGCCTCCTGTCTTATAAATTTAGTTGTTTATGGCTAAACAACTTGTAAATCGTGCTTTTTTCTGCACAGTTAGCTTTATTGGATCTAAGTGAGTTTTAATAATGCATTTTTGAGCTTTTTCTCTGGTCCTTCATGGTCTGTCCTACCAAAAAAAAGAAAACCAAAAAAAAAAAAAAAAAAAAAAAAAACCAAAAAGCGGGAACACAGCTGTTCTCCTCACCAATGCATTTCCCTGGCTTTCAATCGACAGAATTCTTTCTTGGCTGACTGATCTGTGGCAAAGCTTTCTCCCACTAATTCATCTGCAAGACCTTTTTTTTTCATTAATAAGATATAAACACTAGATATTGCTCAGGCTGTGCAGTCTCTGGAACTGTAAGTTCTCTGATGGACATTTAAGATCCTTCTTTCACTACGAGTATATACTTACACATTGAAACAGGTGTCCAGCTATAGATATACATTCAAATCTCAGCCACTGGCTTGGAATTCTTCTTGATGATAAGAATGAACTGTCATACTACCCAGCTGCAGAAAAAGTACAGATGAATGAGATTTCATCAAATCTGCTAGGAGAAATAATGGGGTTTTAAATTTTTGCTTCACCAAGAGAACAACCTGTTTCAGCTCTCCGTGTTTCCGAGCACCCAAGTAAAATATGGATATTTACTCAGTAGTTTCTGTGAAGGACATTGTACTCTGTAATACCAACCTCTAAATCCAGGTGAAGGATGCAGTTGTTTATAGAATGGAAAACAGATCACATGATACCATCATGATGTTTCTTGAATATTATACATAATCACATTTCTGTTTATATACATGCATATCTCATTATTTTGTTTTATTGTAGAGTATTCAGCAATGCATGTCCTCCCCTTGGGTGAGCCCTGCAGTAGCCTCATAGCAGTACCAGAGTACCTCCAGCTGGCAACCCACTGCAGCTGTACAGGAGACACTGACATTATCTGCTACAGGATCTTGTGGCTTTATGTACTTTATATGCAGTGTGTATACATTGACATTACATTACATTTGACATTACAAAATTACAACAAAATTAAGAAGAAAGCAGAAACTCAAATAATGAATGTCAATTGACTGGTAAGCGTTTTTAGGATAATTACGTCTATTTTATTCTACACTTTATTGTAAAATCAATATAAAAAACCCATCTGAATTGTTATCCCAGTTCTGGATTAAAGACTTTTTGTTAAACCAGCATGATACCTAAATCTGTGAAGTTAGTTAATTACTAAGAAATGGTGATTTTTTAACTTCTTCTTTTTCACTTCCTCTGGTGTTTCGATAAAAAGTAGATAAGCATCAAAGAATCACAAAATCATTTCAGTTGGAAGATCATTGAGTTCAACCTGACACCACCGCGTTTACCACTAAACCACATCTCTTCTTTTTAAAAATGAGCAGAATCAGTCAACAAATTTAGGCTGTAATTAGCTGCAAGAAGCAATAAAAACAATTTACAAAATGTCTTGATTTATAACTCTGTATTAGAGGCCTGATTTTCTGTTCATACCTACACAGTAACAATTGTAGGGTTTGTCTGGGGGTTAAGCATTCCTGTACTTCCACCAGAGCTGTCCCTCATCCCCACACAGTGTTACTGCTAGTCTTTGAAATAAAGTGTGTGGAAGCTTAGTAGAGCCTTATTTCAGGAGTGAACTCAGGGCCTCAACAGTGCAACCATGGGAACATGACCCCCATTTAGAGACTGGTATTCTATAGGAATGCATCTTCCCAAAAGAAGCTCTTAAATGATCATTTGGCAAAAGTATTTTAAAAACCTTGTTGTTCCCCATCATCCCAAGATCATCATATCATTGTCATTAAAAAGTGCTGCTGTTTCTTAGGAAGGAACCAGCCTGTATAAAAAAAAAAAAGAAGAGGAAAACATGTACCCATTGTAACAATGTACAGTTTATCAGGGTTTAGAGCTACCTGCTGATGCATTGTGTCAGCCAAGACTAAGGCTAACTACATACAGCAAATAGCAGCCTAAATTTTACAAAGAAGTTTTAGGGAAAGATTGAATTTTTTTTCAATAAAATATTTTGGAGAATGGAATAATAAATAATCTTTTTCCTCTAGCTAGGCATTACAACATCTTTGGAGGAAAAATCTGGCTTTAAAAGGCTGACTTTAGTCTGGAGCCTATTAAGATAAACTGTCTTTAAACATCAAAATCACAGAAACTTGGTTTCTTATGACCACCGTTGCCATCTGTTCTGCCAGTTCTGCCAGAAAAGGGAAACTATAGCTGAAGTCCACATGCCTAAAGGATTTTGATGTGTGTCAGTACTTACTTCAACTTTGGTGCTCAAATAAATGCAGAATTCACAACAAAAGGCATGAAACGAACTAACAAGGAGCATTTTGAGTTGGAACTCAAAATTGGTTTGCCTGAAATACTGAGCCCTTACATCTCTGTTTGTCAGCAGTCCCCTGTGACATTCCAGTATGGTGAGGATTTCATATTTAAATAGCGGGGCAAGGTTTCCCCACAGAGATTAAGAGAGGGAAAAGCAAATAATCCAAATACCAGGGGCCATGGTAGTGGCTAGTCAGCAAGCCAGAGCAGCAGCTTAACCAGGTTTCTACTCGTGTTAATCAGTTTAGGTGGCAAAAGTAAAGCCCATGAGTCAATTTCCTCAATTACATGAAGACTTTCTTTCAAAAGCAGGCACCTGCATTTACATTTCTAGGAAAAATAATTTCAAATTAGTTTTTTGATTTAGAGTTACAGGATTCATCTCAAAGGTAATAACCTTGTTTCTGAGGTCACTTTGGCTCATATGACAATAGTGAAGTACAATTTTTGTTTAGGTGTCTAAACAGGGTGACCCTTGGGTATCAGGAATGTGCACTATGAGAGCAGGCCTGGGGGCAGCAGCTGGATTCTGAGAACTTGTGAAAAGCCAGAGCAGAGGCTCATGAGGGTATCACTGACAATCAGCCTCCCAGGGGCAGCATGGCCAGGGTTAGAAAAAATGGGCTGATATTAACATGACCTTTATGCCCCATCAGGGCTTTACAGGGTGTGAAAGCAACCCTACCCTACCAAGGCCCACCTTTTCCTCCATCATCTGTGTAGCAGCCTCCAATGCTGCCAGGAAGAAAATTATCTGCTACTGTATCTGAGAGGGCACCACAGCCAATAGCCACCATCCACTCCAGCACCTGCAGCTAGGCTTTAGGATGGCAGGAGCCAATGTACCTGAGGCCTCAATACTGCTGGCACTGGAGGCAGAAGTGACAGGCTTGACTGGGCTGTGGATGTGAGGAGTAGGTGCAGCTACAGACACGTGGGGACTATGAAA